CCAGCATTTATTGCTTGCTGTTCTGTTAAATTTTGCTATTTTGACGGGGGTGAGATGATATCTCATAGTTGTTTTAATTTGCATCTCTCTTAGGGCTAGGGATTTTGAAAATTTCTTCATGTGCTTGTTAGCCATCTGAATGTCGTCTTCGGTGAAGTGTATGTTCATATCCTGTGCCCATTTTTCTATTGTATTATTTACCTTTATCTTGTGGTGGTTAAGTTTCTTTTTAGTTGACCTGTCTTTTGGTGAGAGTGGTGTGTTAAAGTCTTCCACCAGTATTGTGGTATTGTCTGTTTCTTTTTTTCAATTCTGTTAACAGTTGTTCAATATATTCAGCATGGTCTTTCATTTGATGATTAGTTGTTGACCAATGTTATGGAGATGACATACTAAGTTTTTAAGCCTAATAGAAAAACTAGAAAAATTGAAGAAGTCGTTGGGTATATTAGTCTAGATTTCAGGAAAGAGAAATATTTCATGTTGTGCAAATATGTAAATGTTTAGGAGGATGTGTGAGATCAACTGTTTGGAATTCAGAAAGAGAATGCTTAACAATGAAAGGTAGGAAGAGAGGAATAGGAGAGTTTTACTGTCTTGAAACCCAAGTAAAAAAAAAAAGTATTTTAAGAAGTAGAGAGGAAGCAGCTCTATGGAATGCTCCTAGGAGGTGGAGTAAAATGGATTAGTTGGTTGACGTTGGATTTGGCAAAGGGTTCTTTTTTTTTTTTTTCCAAAGGGTACTTTCATGGTCTTGGTGGAGTAATTTTCTGCAGATTGAGAGAGGAAGGAAGACTTGATAAATTTCTGTTTCAGTATACTGCTAGGAATAGGGGAAAAGATGCTTAATGGAGAGTGAATGATGCCAGCTCTTCTGAGGAATTGTGCTCGTAAAAGCACCCTATCAAGTGGAGTCTGTCTGGGTCTTGGAGCACAAAGAGTCCAAAGAAAAAAAAATTATTTTTAGGCTTCTACTATTAAGGCATATTTATATACAGTCAAAATGTATCATAGTTTATAATTTTGTGATTTTTATTTGCTGTCTTTGTTGTGTTTCTGGTCGCTGAAATATGTTGTTGTTTTTCTGTACCATTTTGTTGTCCACAATTCATAGCAATTCTATGTACAGTAGCTCTGAAACCAGCTTTATCCTGAGACAGTCACTGACTATGCCACACCTAATCCTATTGCCCCAGTTACCAAGTCAATCTATTTATGTGGGGTCTTCTACTGCTGCACTGTCCCTCCACCCTTCAAGCATGATGCCCTTCTCCAAGGACTGGCTTTTACCAGTGAATTTACCTAGTATTTATAGATTTTAGTGTTTAGCTGCTTTTATTTTATGTTCATATTTGCAATATGTCACATCAAGTAAAACTCAGTTTTGATTTGGAGAGAAAACTGTATTTAAAATCTTGAAATACAGATTATGAAAAATATATCTGATAGTTGTTGTTATGTGCAATTCAGTCACCTGTGACCCATAGCAGCTCTGAACCCTGCCCTGTCCTGAGCCAGTCTCACTAATTCTAACACAACAACCCCATTGCCCCAGTTACTGTATCAATCTCTCTTATCCAGGGGTTTCCTCTCCAACATATCCCATAAAAATTAAAGAAGTTACATTGAAATCTCAAACTCCCATGTTTCAAATCTGCCAGCTGCTCCACTATAGAAGGATGGGAAATCTCCTCCAGTTTGAGATATCTATCTCTCTCTCTTATCTATCTATCTATCTATCTATCTATCTATCTATCTATCTATCTATCTTCTACATATCTATCTATTATCTATCTATCTATCTATCTATCCTTCTATCTTTCCTACTAATTGTAATAACCTTGTAAATATTAAATAACAAAGGGCAAATGAAATCAACTCTTCTTAGTATTTAGAACTAATATTGGTGAATATCTGGAATTCTTTTAAATTCATGATTGTAAGGAGAGGTTGTTGTTGTTAAGTGTTGTCGAGTTATAGGTGACTCATAGCGACTTGATGAATGAAAGACCTGAACACTTGTATAACTTTCATCGTTTCTCCAAGTTCATAGGGTTTCCGGAGGCATGCTATTTCGGAAGTGGATGGATGTACTGATAATTAATTGTGACTTCATTTTACCATTATGATTGTAAGGAAAGTTGTTTAATTTAAAGATATTCTTTTTTTCTCCCCTCTTAAGTTAAGCCTGATCCACCTTCAGATGTGCATATGGAAATCACAGACAGTGGTAACTTAAACATTTCTTGGGCCAGCCCAATATCAGTGCCATTTCAACTTAAATATCAAGTGAAATATTCAGAGAATACTACAACAAATGTGAAAGAAGTAAGTACATTATGGTAAATAAAATTCAGTGTTGGAAGCAGTTAAAGTATAGATGAGACTTTGTAAAGTCCTGTAGAATATCTCTCTGTACGCCAAGCGTGTCTAATTCTTCTTGAGAAGGGGTTGTAATTATTCAGTACCATGCCCCTGGGTCTGCTTCAAGATTAGCATAAAAAATGACCACATGAACAACATTCCTACATCTTCTACAAAGTACTTTAAGAAAATGAAATGCGTAATTAGGGATCTCTTGTGGTTTACTAGTAAGGAGCTGCACTGCTAATTAAAAGGCAAGTTGTTCAAATTCACCAGCTGCTCCTCAGAATAAAGATAGACAGTCTTCTGTCATGTGAATTACAGGCTCAAAAAACTCACTGGAGGAGCTATTATCAGGAATTCCCACTCCATACATAACTAGCAGTTATCTAATTCAGAAACAAATAGCAAATATGGATAAATATGGGTTGCTGTTCCTCCTGTGAGATTACCTACCTCTGAAAAACCTTCAGAAGGTCATCTATGGTTTCGTTCTGACTTTTGGGAAATAGCAGCCTTCCTTTGTTTAAGTTTTAGAAGCATGTGCAAAAAAAGTATAGTGAAAACCTTCAAAAACAATGGTTTTGACTATTGAGTTGCTTTCTCTTTAATATACTTCTAAACAGATAACAAATTAACATATGTCTGACTTGAAAGTGACTCATAATTGATATTTTAGATGTAATTTTGAGCTTCAGAAAATGTTTGCATCAAAATCAACAGATATATTTTTACTTTTTAAGATAGTTAACATGAAATTAAAAATCCACACACAATATATATTTAATCATAATTATATACATTTATGATTATGCACAGCCACTCTTCCTTGAGATGGATTGACTCCGTGATTGGAGTAATAGAGGTAGGTGTGTCAGAGACATTAAGGTTAGTTCAAGATAGAGCAGGGTTCAGAGCTGTTGTGCGTAGGGTCATTATGCACCACAGGAGACTTCATAGCATATAACAACTCTTCACTTAGCAGCATGATTATTTTCCATGGACCAGGTTGTTATGTGAAAAAAGAAGTTAACTCCACTAGATCACAAAATGAAGGATGACTCAGTCATTATACAAGTGCCAAATTAGACAGAACCATGGATGTAGCTGTGCCCCACAAAGAGGAAGTGCACCTAGGGTGCTCTCTAGAGGCAAGGATGGGGAAAGTTCACCTCTCACACTTTAGGCACGTTGTCAGGAGGGTCTGTCCTTGGAAAAAGTGGACATGATAGGAAAGGGCTGAAGCCTGTCACAGATTATAAGTATGATACAAGGTAGGCCAACGTTCAAATCTCTCATTCGTAGGATCACTATAACTTGAAGTTGACTGACAGCACCTGGCAACAATAAGTGGATAGCTTTAGCAAACAGAAATTACTGTACTCACCAAGAAACAATAATTTGCAACTACAAGTTCAAATTCAGGAAGGAGATAGGCTTTAGGGCAAAGCTTTGACCCTCTATTGACTGGTTGTAGTTCATTGTTTCTTTTCAGTATCTATAATTAGGTTCATTGGTGAACTTAATGTAGTCTGACATCCATCTTCCTCATCTCTACTTTCTTATCTATACTTAATCTCATTCTTTCATTACTTGGTTTAATGCACACCTGATATTGATATGGCCTCAATAACGTAGCAAAGAAACAAGTACTCGCTAATGGGATTAGTGATTCTTCAATTATAGAAAAATAACAAACATGTGCATTTGTCATCAATTCAAGATATAAAATTCATATGTTGAGAGTAAACAGTTCATTCTAGAACAGTTAATATTAAATTGTTGGTCTCATGCTTTAAAATTAACAATTATCGTTTAACATGTATCAGGCTACTGAGATAGTATTGACTACATACTTGCAAGCAAACAGTGTGCTTCCTGGGGCCACATATGAGGGCCGGGTTCGGACTATGAGACTGCATGGCCCAGGAGTCTGGAGTAACTGGAGCATCCCTTATACCTTTACCATACCAGGTAAGTGTTAAGTTTCATGGTGTAGTAACTTCTGTTTGGAGAAAAAAGATGTTTTCTGAATAGTTCTTTGGTACATTTTAAGACTTGTGGCAATTAATCAATGGGGGAACACTGGTATAAAATATTGTTTACATTTTAAATAAGTTAATTTGTTAATTAGAACTTTCTAAAAATAAGCATATAAAGACCCTAAATTTAGATGTTTCCATAATAATATCTTGTTTAGCTATTTTTTCTATTAACAAATTAGTAAAAAACTTCTTAATTAACAAATTCAGAGTACCACTTGTTATTATTCCTTTAATTTATATATATGTGAAGGATTTATTTGAAGTCAATATAAAATATTAAATTAAAATTATCTTTCAGTCTTATATTTTACATAATAAAAGAATTCTTTCACTCCAGGTGCTTTATTTTGACAAGTTTCAGTTTTCATCTTTTTAAGATTGTTTTAAAAATCAGACAAGCTCCTATCTTCTGAGCTCAGTCTTAAGATGAGGTGTTGTAGATGCTGAGAAGCTTTCAGATAATTAGAGCTGCCACATGCTAGTTGTGATGATGAGGAGACATGGGGAAAATCCAAGACAGAAACTTTTACAAAAAATAATTATAAACAAGTCTCAGCAAGTTTGAAGGACTTAAAATATCATAGAGCAGTTATGTTAAGTTCCTGAAGTATTTCAGTGTCGCCCAATTCCTTTTGGTCTCGGACTATGTGAATTGCTGCCATCTAATTTAATGGAAACTCATTCAGATAAATTGTGATATATATGAAAATAGCTTTTCAGTCATCTCATATGTATATGAAAGTTAGACAATGAAAAACAGACCAAGGAAGAAATTTGAATTGTGGTGTTAATGAAGAATATTGAATATACCATGACCTGCCTTAAAAGAAAAAGCAGAGGGGAGCTCTGGTGGCCTAGTGGCAAAAAAGCTGCACTGCAATCCCAGAGGTGTGCTGTTCGAACACACACACACACACACACACACACACACACACACCCCATTAAAAAAAAAAAAAAGAACAAGCAGATTCGTTTTGGAAGACATGCAGCCAGAATGCTCCTTAGAAACTCAGGTGGTAAAACTTAGTCTCACATACTTTTAATGTTAGTAGGAGAGTCCAATCTCCAGAGAAGGACATCATATTTGTTAAGTGAAAGATCAGTGAAGATGAGAACAAAACTTAATAAAGTATATTGAAACAGTGGCTTCCACAGTGAGCAGAAGTACAGCAGAAAAAAAAAGGACAGGGAAGTTTTAATCTTTTGTACATGTTGCTATGAATCAGAACACTTGATGGTCCTACCAACAAGTACTGTGAAATACTAAAACATTGTTGTTGTTGTTTACTGTCGAGTCAGAACCGACCCATAGCTGACCCTCTGGCAGTTTTTCAGAGGCAATAAATCACATGCAAGGAGACTGTCCATCCTTCTCCCACAGAGCAGCTGGTGGATTTGGACTGTATGCCTTTGGATTGCAGTGCAGCTTCTTGCTGCTAGGCCACCAGTGCTCCCTATTAAAACAATAAAAATATTCAACATGTTCAATGAAGTATGCCCATCCAGAGGATACCTACCTGGTGAGCTGGCTGGAAGAGATCTATATTAACTCCCATTCCAAAAATAAGAGCTATCCAACAGAGTATGTAAATTATCAAACAATATCAATAATATCACACATAAGCAAAATCTTGCTGAATATTATAAACAAACAAACAAAACAACCAGAAGAACAAACCACGACTGAAACAGTAACATGACAGAGGACTACCAGAAATGCAAACTGGGTTTAGAAGAGGCCATGGCACTAGGGATGTCATTGCCAGTGTTAGATGGTTCTTGGCTGAAAACAGAGAGTACCAGAAGAATATCTATCTTTGTTTCATTGATTACACAAAGGCATTTGACTGTGTGGATCACAAAAAATTGTGGCTAACCTTAAGAAAAACGGTAATCCCATAACACTTGATTGTGCTCATGTGAAACCTATGCTTGGCTCAAGAGGCAGTCATCAGAACAGAGCAAGAAAAAAAATTCATTTTTCAAAATCAGGAAAGGAGTGCATCAAAGACATATCCTGTCTCCATACCTTTTAAATCTATAAGCAGAACAGATCATTCAGGAGACTGGGATTTATGAGGAGGAATGTAACATCAGGATTGGAGGAAGACTCACCAACAACCTGTGTTATGCAGATGACACAATCTTGTTCACTAAAAACTGAGGAGGACTTGAATCATCTGCTGCAGAAAGCCAAGGACTGCTCTATTCAGTATGGATTGAAGCTCAACATCAAAAAACCCCAAAGATACTTACCTCTGGGCCAATTGATAGCACCTTGATAAATGAAGAAGAAATAGAGATTGTTAACAATTTCAGTTTGCTGATCAATTATTTTGCCCACTGTTACATTGTCTTTTCAAGTCCCTATTGAATCTTTCCTATTCCTTCACTCCCTCCCCTCATTCTGCCCACTAAACTCCGCTATCCTAGAGATTTCCAACTTCTCTGTTCCCATTTTTTTACCCCATTCCACCACACACCAAATTGTGACACTGTGACTCCCTACGTACCCACCCTCACCCCTCTTTTCCAACCACTTTCTTCCTTGCATTCCCCTACACATTTTACTAGTTATCCTTCTATTTTTACAATGTGTGTCCTCACGGACTGAATTCACTCAGCATAATGCTGTATCAACTAAACCTTTTATATGGTTTTGCAGTAAAATTGTTCTGTGTTTTTAGGCTTTAAAATGAAAAGCTTCACCTTAATTAAGGAAAACATATTTGTCTTTCCTAAAATTTTTTTTGAGAATTTTTGAAGTTAACTTAGCTAATAAGGTATGCAATGTATTGGAGTTAGGTCAACAGCCTTTCACATCAGTATTAGCTATTTATTTACCTGCAATGGCAATGTATAAATGAAGCTTGAGTACCATTCTGTGCTAAGATTATGCTCAATTAAGCCCATTAACATTCTGAAATGGTTTCTGTCCAGTAGTGTTATGCTCCAAATTTTTTCTGTATTTTTTGACTTTAGAAATATAAAGCAAAACTTCTTGAATGAATTCTAACTGTGAAGAATAGACTTTAGCATACTATAAAAAAAATTAGTCACTAACAGAATAAAATAAAACAATAAAAAATGATGAAGCAGGTCTTTGTTTTCCTACTGAGATAATACAAAATATATGTGCAAAAATAGATTAATTGAATTTCTACCAGCAGAAAATGGTTCATTTGAAATTGTCAAGTATTGAAATAAGCTGTTATCCTCATATGCATTGATACAAATAATTTTTCTGCTGTAAACAATCACTATTTGTTATTATAGTTGTTTTTCATAGAATAAAACAGGCATGCCAAATTCTCAGCAGATGGGAATGGAAACGTAGTTTTGAATATTATTCAGGCAATTAAAAAAGCACATTTATAAATCTATTCCCCTTTTCTTCAATCCAGGTACTTTGATAGCCTAGTAGTAAGAAGCTGCACTGCAATACCAGTCACATGGTTTCTTTAATCATAAGATATTGACATTAAATAACCCCAAATTATTTTACAAACTAGTGCTTAAAGTTTTCCCCATTTTTATAGCCACCATTCATCTTTTTTCCTTTTTTAAAATTTATCATTAATTTCAATGAAAATTTACAGAGACTTTGGGTTTCAATTCATTCATTGTTGCACTTTTCTCCACTCCCAACCCTCGCCCCCCAGTACACTACCCTCTTGGAAAAATAAAAGAAAAATTCTTTTGTTATTTTATTTCACAAACCCTCCCCCAGGTCCACTCCACTATGCAGCCTTCTCTCTGGACTCTTGCAATGACAAAAATACCTAATCACATATCCCTTTTAAACAGTTTTCTCCCTATCTGTTTCAATGCAGTATATATTATTGAACCCATCTTTCTCAGTCTCCCCCCAACCCCTATGTCAGTCCTGTTTTACAGCAGTGGCACCATGTAGGATTTGTCCTTTTGTGACTGAGGTACTTCACTCAGCATAA